AACTAGTACCCTGATCACCTGGCAAGACACATGGACATAACACAAGTACCACGATCACTTGGGGAGATGCACAGACACAGGTACCCCCGGTCACTAGTTCCTATGAAACTTCCTAATGTTTCCAACATGTGTCTGTTTCCGGTCCTTCAGTCTAGATGCCTGTCAGTGGTTTCTATGCCTCCGAGGAAAAAGGACCTTACTGATTTGCCTGTGAGAGTGGCCAAGACAAAAAGCTGGACAACACACCATTGGGAAGGGGAAGGAAGAGGGTGCAGCGGGGCACTGCTGCTGGGAGTTCTGAGGGGAGATGAATGCCATGATTCAGAATTTACAAGCCACCAACTGAAGATGAGCTGGGCAGAAAAGAAACATTACCTATATTTCATTACATCTAAAATACCATCAATTATAAGATTTAAAAAAGAAATTAAAACCCACTGCCAATTAGTTAACTTAGTGTTTTTCTTATTGCTCAGAATTTTAATTTGGGGGTTATTGACAAAGCTCCTTTATTTGGACAGGGTGTCATCAGCTCTCTCCTACAGACATAAAAAGGAAAAGATGAGTGAAATAAGTTGGCTAAGTCTTCGTTTGCAGGATGTCTGTGACTTTCCACACAATAACGATCTTCGTGCCGCTGAGAGTGCTGGCGAACATGCACTTCGTAAGAGGTCTCCACCAACCTCTCTGAGACTTTCTTCCAAGCAGCTGACCCTCGCTCTGGAAGTTTTGATTCTGGCTCTTTCCTGATCTCATCAGAAGGTATCATTGGGTGATTTCCAACCACAACAGGATTTGTGCTCTTTCTTTGAATGGTCCTTAAATGATGTATGGACTAAAGCACCAGGTGCTGTGGTCACAGTCGTCCAGCCACACCACTAGGAATAACCGCCACGTCCACTGGTAATGACACCTCTAATACGACTGGACAGTGACTGTGGGACACGTCAAGAGTAGGTCACATCTGCTTTCAGAGAAGTTAAAGTGTAAGAATGTGCATGCCACAGAATGGCTCAAACGGTACTGCCTTCATAACAAGAATGTTTGGATTTCACAAACAACATAAAAGGCAAATACTAACCTAGGAAAAAGATTAAGGAAAAAAACTAATATCCCAGAAGAAAAAGAATGACAAAGGACAAAAATGGAAAATTCACTACAGATGGACAACAGGCACATGAAAAGATGCTCAACATCACTAATTACCGGAGAAATGCAACCAAAACTACAATGAGGCATCACCTCACACCAGTCAGGATGGCCACCATTAAAATGCCTACAAATAATAAATGCTGGAGAGGTTGTGGAGGAAAAGGGACCCTCCTACATTGTTGTGGTGGGAATGTAAGTTAGTGCAGCCACTATGGAGAACAATAAACTTCCTTAAAAACATAAAAGTAGAGTTATATGATCCAGCAATCCCACTCCTGGGCATATATCCAGAGAAAATTTTAACTGGAAAAGATAAATGTGCCCCAAAGTCCATAGCACTAAATACAATAGCCAAAACATGGAAGCAACCTAAATGTCCAGCAACAGATGAATGGATAAAGAAGATGTGTGTGTATGTATACATATATATACATACACACAC